ATATAGAAAGATATAGAGATGGATAAATAGATAAAAAGATAGAAAGTTAGATAGATCGATTTATAAAAATATTTTAATTTAAATAATAAATAAATATATACAATAAAAACAAATTGTTCAAAGGATAATGCCAAGGCAACTCCATGGACACTGCGGCCGCGTAGAGCAAAGGCTTAACGAGGGGGAAAGCATAAAGTGGGGATTAGAACTCAAAAGGATTAGTGGGTGGCATCTATCGGCAGCAAAAGGACCCGCTTAACTCCTCTGCACTCGCGGTGACGTCAACGCGAATGAATTCCGCAATGGTCGTGGCAGGACACAGGCGATGAGAACGCAACAAACAACATAAATCCAGTCAAGATTTGAAAGGACACTCTCTCTTTTTGCACCACTCCAGCCACCATTTGTCCTTATTCCGCCACGGGATGCGGCGATTACAGCTAAGGGCAGGACGGGAACAAGGACACACACACCACGAGGGTTGCAATCTAATGAAATAATAATAATAAAAAAAAATAAATAAAATACGAACACAAAAAAAAAGGGGGGAACGCAACGGAACGTTTATCATTCGCAGCCGCGCTGCTTTTGATCCTCGAGAAGGTGCAACAGAGACGGCACGAGCCAAGAACAGGACACCCTCAAAAAAGCAGAGCTAACGGTGGAACGCTGCGGAATGGAACGCTCACTGTGCGTTTCCCAACCCCCTCAACCAAGTCCATTCATGTCCCATTCCCTGACATCCCATACCATTCCATACCATTCCGTGGTGCCTTTCCATTTAAGGCCATCCCGTTTTTTAGCATCCCGTTCGAGATCCCATTTATCCCGAATCGAAATGGAAATCGCAGCATGGCAACGCACAGTCCTGGGACGCACACACACCAAAATGCGTCGCAGTTGCCTTTGGGGTGGGTGGTGGCTTTTCCTTATCCTCCTCAACGAACCCTCGTCCTTTTGTGCGGTGCAGGGGAGGCAGGACGACGCGACTAGGATAGAGCTAGAGCCAGGAGCACAATCAGAAGCCAGCCGGCTGAAAACATTCCTGGGATACGCAGGAACGCACCTCAGCCACAGTCCCAGGGAGCAGAGGTGGTGGTGGCTTATCCCAAATCGAGAGGTGTTTTAAGGGGTTTGAAAGCCCCTTATTCCAAGCTTAAAATCTAGTTTTTGAAAAGTTTTTGTAAATATGTAAAAAAGAATACATTGATCACCTAGGGGGGTTATTTTTGTATTTTAAAGGATTCCCAGGACCTATTTAAAGTCCAGCTTTTTGGCCATAATTTTGAAGATGAGGGGCTAGACTCCCCCTTACTATATTTAAAGCATTCCCTTTTCCCCGCTGTTCAGTGGCGTAGAGCCACATCCTCGACCTTGTCCTTGTCCTGAATTTTGGGGTTGAAAAACTACACAAGTTTCGCTTGTCTCGGAAATTCGGAAACGGGACGAAGCCTGCATGTGTGTGTGTGTGTGTTTGTATGGGCTGAGTTTTTTGGGTTGGTAACAGTCGGAAATACTTTGTTGTTCCTGCTTCTGCTCCTGCGGGGTGCGCATCGGATTTAACATAGCTAAACGGGAAGAGGCAACAAAGAGGAATAGCGAAGGAGGAGTAGTAGTAGTAGTAGTAGTAGAGGAGAGTGGCAAGCAGAGAGAAAGAGAGTGTGTGTAAAAGACAATAAGAAAGTAGGATCGAATGAAGAAAGAGGAAAAAGAAAAACGAAGAACAAACAATGCAGAATTATCGCCGTTATCACTGTTTGACACTTGGCTCTTCCAGTTGGAAAGGTCCTTGGAATTTTGTGTTTCCAACAAAGAAGAGAGTTTGTTGGGAAATGAATTATAAATAATAAATATATTATTACATAATTAATTATAAATATAAAAAAAGGCTGGGAATATGAGTTTCTGGGGAAAATAAATAAAATTAATAAATAAAAAAAAAAAAAAACAATGGACAGCCTAAAGAGATAACTCCACCTACAGTGGTGCTCATAGACTTAAGCCACAAGACTTCAACCAAGAATTTTAACGAAAATTAAGAAAAGTTTTTATTCCACAGCTCCAATTATTTGTGTCACATTAGTTCTATATATCAGTGTTCTAATAAAAGAATAACCAAGTTATAAAAATATATATTCAACGAAAAATTAAAAAAATCTGAGACCAACCCCAAAATGTCCTGCTCACATACTTAAGCCACCTGGAAGAAAATGATCCAAAAAGTTAAAATTTGCCCAATATTCCTTATAATTTTAATAAATTTAGTTTAATATTAAGTGGGATGACCTTTCTGATTAAGAACAGCGGAGCAACGCTTTGGCATTAAGCCCACAAGACGTGCGCACTGTTGAGGGGTGATTTTCTTCAACTCTTCCTGCAAAATATGCCAAAATCGTTTTTTTTTTCGCTGTTTTTTTTGGCCAACGACTTGTTTAAGAATACCCCACAAGTTGTCTATAGGGTTCAAGTCGGGGATCTGCGGTAGCCATTGCAAAACATTGATTGTCTCTTGGCTAAGCCACGACTTGACTATCTTGCTGGTGTGTTTCGGGTCGTTGTCCTGTTGAAATATCCAGGCAAGTGGCAAATTATCGGCATATTCTCCAGATAAATTGTTAATAAGGATGTCCCTGTACATTTCGCCGTTCATAATGCCTTCTATCTTCTTTTTGGAGACCTACGCCCGATGCGGTGAAACAGCCCCAGACCATAATCGAAGCGCCACCATGTTTAACGATCTTTTTCGTGTATTTGGGGTCCAATTGTTTGTTGGGAGGACGTTGTACATATGGTTTACCATCACTCCCAAAGACATTAAACTTGGATTCGTCGCTCCAAACAATCAAACATACACGAAAAAGATCGTTAAACATGGTGGCGCTTCGATTATGGTCTGGGGCTGTTTCACCGCATCGGGCGTAGGTCTCCAAAAGAAGATAGAAGGCATTATGAACGGCGAAATGTACAGGGACATCCTTATTAACAATTTATCTGGAGAATATGCCGATAATTTGCCACTTGCCTGGATATTTCAACAGGACAACGACCCGAAACACACCAGCAAGATAGTCAAGTCGTGGCTTAGCCAAGAGACAATCAATGTTTTGCAATGGCTACCGCAGATCCCCGACTTGAACCCTATAGACAACTTGTGGGGTATTCTTAAACAAGTCGTTGGCCAAAAACAAGCGAAAAAAAACGATTTTGGCATATTTTGCAGGAAGAGTTGAAGAAAATCACCCCTCAACAGTGCGCACGTCTTGTGGGCTTAATGCCAAAGCGTTGCTCCGCTGTTCTTAATCAGAAAGGTCATCCCACTTAATATTAAACTAAATTTATTAAAATTATAAGGAATATTGGGCAAATTTTAACTTTTTGGATCATTTTCTTCCAGGTGGCTTAAGTATGTGAGCAGGACATTTTGGGGTTGGTCTCCGATTTTTTTAATTTTTCGTTGAATATATATTTTTATAACTTGGTTATTCTTTTATTAGAACACTGATATATAGAACTAATGTGACACAAATAATTGGAGCTGTGGAATAAAAACTTTTCTTAATTTTCGTTAAAATTCTTGGATGAAGTCTTGTGGCTTAAGTCTATGAGCACCACTGTAAATCTAGAGAAACTAAATTAATAAAAATAAATTTAAGAAATTGAATAAAAAATCAAGAGCCCGCTTAAAGAGATAACTCCCACATAAAGTACATCGAATTTTCCCAGTTTTCCCCACCCTAATCAATCAAATGCCAAATGAGATTGGTATTCTTAAATGAAATTAGTGCCTTGCGATGTTTATTTTTGGGATGCAAACAACTCTCTGGCCCTCAAGTGGCAATCGTAGGTGGAATAGGATCCACAGTTCCAGGTCCGCTTTCTCTTTCTCCTCCCTTTTTCCATTCTCCTCTCCCCTCTCTTTTCTTCCTGTTTCCATATGCCCTTTGTTTTCCCCGAGACTTGCTTCTTTTTTTTATTATGAAGCAGCTGTGACTGTCTGAATTTTCCTAACATTTTCACAAGAAGGAGCGGGGACTGAAGAAGAACCCGAGAACAGGGAACAGTGAGCGGAGCAATAAGAGAGAGAGAAAGAGAGGCACAGTCTTGGGTTCACCCTTGTTTTCAGCATTTTCCACGACTTTTCCGACGCCCCGCACTCGCTTGATGACAATGAATTTTCGCTTTTCACACTCACCCTTGACGCTGGCGTCGCTGCCAGCGTCACATCCCAGTGCTGCAGCGTCGCTGCCAGCGTCCAAACCAATCAGATGGAAAATATTCGTTTATCCGTGACCTTTTCGTTAGTTTTTCCATTTCTCTGTCGGGAAACCTTCTAGGCTCACAAAAAAAAAAAAAAACAACAACAACACAGCGCTAGTACAGGTCCAACAGCTGGCACAGTGATCGATGGAAAACTGCTGCCAGCAGGGACAATAGAAGGAAAGCACAACGTATAATACAATGCGGCTCAAAGCAGACCCTTATCCTTTATCCGACAATATTAGTATTAAATTAATGAACAAAACCAAATGGTTTCGTTTAAAATATATAATATATACATACATAGCATGGACTTGGGAATCTAAAGAGAGAAATGGAAAGAGACACGGACAAACTAATAACCTGATAAGAGAAAGAGCTAATTAAAACCATGTACGGATAAAGGATAATAGGTTAGTCTGCCCGTCTGTTGACTCTTTTCGCTCAGTGTACGCTAAGCCGGCGGCTGGCTGCTCTTTGAATCGGATAAACAGGCGGATAGACGCCGCTCCACGCTCACGCACTCACACACACGCACACACAGGAGCAGGCAGGGTCAGCCATTTTGGTTTACAACTTTCACTGTTTTCGTTAGCTGGATGGGAAAATGTGACGCCGACGCCGAAGCCTCAGCCGTCCGCTGCCGCAGCCTCAGCCGATGTCGACGCTGTTGCGATGCGTCGCTGCCGGCGTCGCTGTTGTGTGGCGCGTTACCGAGTTTTCCTCGCATTTTCATCGGGACGCAGACACCTTGGGATCCGGATCCGGCAGTTCACTCGTCGCCGTTGCGTCAGTTCGTTCGACACTCAGCTCAGCTCACAGCTCACAGTACCGTTTACAGTTTTACAGTTCGTACGCTCACAGCTCGCACAGTTTACCGTTAAATAGCCGCTCTAGCTCCGCAGCAGCAGCGCAGTTAGTTCGAGAATTCGATTCGGCCGCGCCGCCATTTGCGTTTTTTTGTTGTTGTTTCTTCAAAAAGTGACTAAAGGCCACAAAAAGCAAAAGCAAAACAAGTGGAAAGTGTGTAGAGAAGCGGATAAAGAAGAAGATAACAAGAAGTTCTAAAAGAAGAAGTTCTTAAAAAAAGAAAAGTGCAAACGAAGAAGAAGAAGAAGTCAAAAAGGAGAAGGCGAAATCAAAAGAATTAACCAAAGAATTCTAGCGGTTTAATTATATACCAAAGTGTAAGTGAAAGAGGGAAAAGACGAAGAGGGTGATGAGGCAAGAGAGAGCGAGAGTAAGAGGTAGTGGAAGAGGGCGTCAAGAGCGAGACAGGGAGGCGAGAGAGTGAGAGAGGTGGTGGCGGTGGCCGAGGATAGTGGGATGAGAGAGACCATTTTTCCAGCCTACTTTGTACGCACTCACGCAGCTACTTCTGTCTCGCTCGCACCCGTGCACCCACGCATATAACCCCCCGTGCCCCTGTCAGGGTTGTCACCTACGCAAAAATCAATAAGCCAAAGCAAATAAAATAAATGCAAAACGAATCGAATTGAATTGAAAAGGCGACAACCAACTAACGTTTCCTGTCATTATCCTTTAAGGAAAAGTTTAACAATTTGAAAGTCCTGAATTTGAACTGAAGTTTTCAGACTGTTTTTTTAAGGAGAAAGCAATTCTATTACGTGATGGTGTACTTAGTCTTCCCCCTTATGTAATCAGTACTTCCAAAAATAGATTTAAACAGTGAATGTTTTATATTATAACAATATTTCCCGTTACAATTTACAATCATATTTAAACTAAGCACTTAGAAAATAGTCTACTTCAAATTAATAAACAAATATGCCTCCATTCAATTTCAAAACAAGTTAACATTTGCACTCCTGTCAAAAAGGGCCCAACAAATTTTCTCTTTCCCACAAAACTCGGTTTCAATTTTCTTTCATCAAACAAAAAAAAAACCCAAAAATTTAAACAAAATCCGAAATATACACACCCACACAGACCCAGCAAATCCAACAAATAAGCCAGAAATCGGAGGGGTTAAGAGAAGCGATCACCAAATACATACATAACACCCATATATCGATACAGATCCGAGAATCAGCAAAAAGCCAATCCAAAGAAAACTTAATTTTCGGCATTTAAATTTATCACCAAAAGCACCTTAGCAATAATCCCCTTGTCCTGTCCACGCTAAGCGATCCTCCGAAAAGTTGGACTTCTAGAGTGAGACAGATTCGGGATCAGCTATACAGTTACTTAGGAGGAGCCTCTCACTGGGCCACCCACAAAAAGTTTAAGCTGAAATCAAATCAAATTCCATTTCAAAACCCATCAAGCAGCAGGATAAGAAGGCCGGAGAAAACCCAGAGATTATCTGAACCAGAGACGGAAGCGGATATACCTTAGCATCCTTCCTCTCTCTCTAAGGCTAAGTTCCTGTAAGGCCAGTCTATCGATGAGCAGCCCAGCCGGATCCAATTAAGCCTGTAAGTATATCCTGTATACCGTTGGACAGGCAGTGAGCCGTGTGTGTGCACACCACTCCTGTCCTGGCAGGCAGGCAGGCGGAGGACACTCGAAATGTTTGCTTATAGAACCATCGAGTAATCGGTTTTTCTCAATCAAAAATGCACCTCATGTCCTAAGTATATAGTTGTGGGAGATTCCTTAAGAACATTCCCCAAGGGTAAAGCTTGAATGGTTATAAAGATTCATTTCTAGACTATCTACATTCATTAAGAATCATAGATACTTATCTAGATCTCCGGTTAAGTGAACCCCGAGGACTCTTACTAATTGGTTACTCAATCAAAGAAACACCTTCATGTCCTTCGAAGTTGTCCTGGAATAGAGGGTTTCCCTACGCGCTCCTATAATGAATATTCAAATCATAGAACACAGATTCATCTCTAGAATGAATCATATATAGCCTTATACAAAGCTCAATGCTCAAGTTGAATATTTCCGGTCAAGACCCGAGATCTATTAAAAACATATAATTTGCTAGTGGCTAACACACCCCCCGCCCCCTTAGTATTCGTTCTCGTGTCTGCCTTTCATTCATAATTCCAATGATGGTGCGGAATGCTCCTTCGTCTCCTCCGGCTCCAACTCCGGCACAGCGGGGCCTCCGCTGCGTTGCCACATTGTACGGCTGACAGACAGACAGACAGTGGGCACTCCGCGATGTGGATGGCGGAGTAAACGGAAGGCGAAGGCGAACATCACTTGGGGATGACCCTCTGTGGAACGAAGGAGGTTGCGTGTTTGGCGTCTATTTTGAAATGTCTCGTCGGCGCAAGATGCGCGTGGCATGAATGGAGGAGCGTCTGCTTTCCACATTTTCGTATTTTATTTATTTTGCCCTGAGCTATGCTCCACTCTCAGTGCTCTTCCTCATTCTAATCGAGCGGCGTCTGCTTCTAAATTTAATGCATTCCCTCAAGTGAGGCGAATTGCATGGAAGATGCGAAAAGAAAGCAGAAAATCGGATCAAATTTAAAGTTCAACAGCCGTTGGTGAAAGGGAAAGTTGAAATAGTATATATAGAGAGGGGGTGTGGAATTCTGGGGGGGGAGGAGAGGAGGGACCAGAATTAGAAGGAAGACATTCCTTAGCGTTTGGGAGGGGGGGCTCTTGGCGGTGTCTTAAATAGCTTTTTTAAACCAAAATATCTGGGAGATACTCTTTATCTATCTCAAGGATACTAAAATAGTTTACATCCCTCTGGCAGGTCTTTTATTGCTTTTGAAGACCAAAGAATCTGGAAGGATATTGGAGATATTGATCTCTGGCAGGTCTTAGATAGCTTTTTGAGACCAAATAACTGACAGATACTTTTTCCCTATCTCAAGGATATAAAGATAGATAGGGGTGTACCCTCTTTCAAAAGACTCTTTCCCCAAATTCTAATATTTAATTGGTTGACATATCTTGATTAAAATTGAAATTTTAAATAACTTCAATTAAGATATTTCTATTTTAAGGATAGTCACTTCTCTTTACCTCTCCTCACCTCTGGGAGATTTATTTTCTTGGCAAAGATAACGCCCTAATAGAATCTTCCATCTGGTGGGATCTACTCTCCACTTCCGTTTCAGCTTTTTTTTGGGGGGGGGGAGGTTTGCATATCCGCGATGGATGATACCCTTTTCTTCGATCGCCTGGAGGCAACTGTACCGCTTCTATGTATGGCAGCAGCAGCAACAGCAGCGCTCCTTTTGACGCGGTTTGTCCTTGAGCCGGCGCTCTAAGAAAGCTTAGGTAGGCAGGCGGCGGCAGACAGCTTACGCAGCTGGTTGGCTGCTTTTGCCTGGATGCCTGGAGGATGATGCCTTATCCCTCGGAAGACCCTCTCTCATCCCTTTTGCAGCTCGTCGCGTTTATCTAGTCCTTAGAGAGGTGTCCTGTAGCCAAACGGGCTTCGCAGTACGCGTTCGTTCAATTGTTTAATGTCCTGTTTTGTGTGTATAAGGATAACGTAAAGTTGTGCGTTCTGCTGTCTGCTTTTACCTTTCAGCTGAGCTCTAACTGAATTCCAGAGAACCGCAGCTAAACTGCCTCATCTGATTATTCCGGTCACAGTTTCCATCAGGTGATTTTCCTCTCCCCTGAAAAATCAATTTGCCTTGCTTAATTACTAATTTTCATTTGAGAAAAAGTTGCTAAAAGCTAGAGAAACTTTATCTCAGTTATCCTTTTGCTGGCGTTAATTTATTTCCAAGGTTTTCTAGGGTTAAGTCCCCTGTTTTCCCAACATTAATAATTAGTTTTAACAGAAGAATCAGCTAATTAAGGACGAGAGCAAGGTCAATCCTTTCGCTTGTAGGTCCCTCATACAAAATCAAACACAAAAGTTTTAAGTGGGCAGCATATGTTGCCTTGGAAGGATTTACTTGCCATATGTAAGCGGCTTAAAATAAGTACCTCCCACACACTGTATCAAGACGAGTCCTGGCTCCGTATCCTTGTCTGTCTGTGTGCAACTCAATCAAATTCGAGTGCGTTCGCCATTGCAGTCGGTGCTCAATGCAATCAACCACCACCGCCGCCCACCCAAAGGATATCACACACACATAGCTCTCGGCAATTTCATTCGCGTTACCAAGTGGGTGGCATTGGGTGGTCTCCGTGCAAGGGGTTGCTGCACTTTGCTGCGCGCGCCATTTTCCTCTTGCGAGAAAAAAAAAAACGAACAGGACATGGGAAGCCCTCGAAAAGTGTGCAAACTGCAACAGGCGTTCTTCTTTTTTTCTCTTGCCATTTGCCAATTGCCATTTGCCGGGGAAGGTCAAGCCCACGCCCACCGGTAGCCCATGCATAGGGTTAACCTCTGGTGGGATGATGTTGCAGCCGCAGGAGTCGCCACCCCTCCGGCAGGAGTGCCACTGCTTTTCATCATCCCTCAAAGAGCCCTTTTTCGGAAGCCAGGCAGGGCGAGGCGATGCACTTTTGTTGCTTGTTGCAAATTGCTTGAAATGATTGCGAGGACAAAAAGCTTTTCAGGCTTCGCCACCTCTAATTGGCTTGTCGCAGGCGAGGCAAAAGGAGCAGCAGCAGCAGCAAGGAGCAAGGAGCAAGGGTGGAACTAATTTAAACCATGTAGCAGAGCCCACCCTTGGGTGAGAGATGAGGCCTATTAAACGTCAATTAATGTCACCTTCAACAACTGCAATTGCTGCTGCTGCTGCTGCACCATCCTTCCACCTTCCTTATTCCCGCTTCCCTCTTTGTCCTTCCTTCTTCCTTCTTCTACCTTAGTTCCTGGATCCCTACCCTTACCCTGGCCCCTGCCCTGTTCTTACCCTCGCGCATCCTGATTTTGTTTTGATTGCGACGCGTGCAAGACCGGGTACACTGAAGGGTCAGAGTGCGGCCAAAGTGCAGTTGCTGTGCATGCAACAAGTGAGCTCCTTTGCTTGCTCCTTTATTGTTGCAACAGGGGAACAGGCGGAAAGCTACAACAATAAATACAAGCATCTTAGGGCAGCTACAGTTTGATTTTAAAAGCGCCTTCAACACTTTGAGTGTGATGATATCTCCTTAAAAGTCACCAAGTTTGTGGAATAAAAAAAGGATATTTTGTCGCATTCTATATACTAAAGAGTGGGAATCTATAAAACTGATAGTTAGAAGAGTAATTTCTGCTCTTAGTCCTTGCCACTTTAGGGGACCCCTACTCCTAAAAATTCTTTAAATTTTAGATTCCAAAAAGGATAATAAATAGCAACCTAGTTAGGGATAAATATAATATATAATATTTTAAAAATTTATGAATGAAATTTGTTTTAAGATCTCTAAATTTTCAAAAACTCTTTAGTTATAAAATAACACAAACTTACCATACATAGATAAACTAATAAAACCCCTAAAATCCTTGCCAAGAAAGTGTTAGCACATGGCTCCCCAAAAGAAATCCAAAAAAGGTGCTATTCAAAAATTGGGGTATTCCCGGGGCCACTTTCACCGCGCTTGGACTTGAACTTTCGGCTCAAGGACATCGCTGTACTCAGGACTAAGAACTAAAGGGAGCAAGCAAAGGAACAACCTTGTGGCCCTCCTCGCGCCCTCCCAAAACTATGTACGATTCAGTGGGAAACTGCGAAACCAGCTTAAAGTGTCCCCCGCACCGCTGTTCCCCCTTCCCCGAAGTTCCTAGCTCCTGTGCTCGCATTTCGTTTTTCAATTTTTCGGCTGCTTTTTGCGTTGCTTTTTTTACGTCTTTTCTAAGAAAAAAAAAAAAAAGGGCAGCAGCAGCAGCAGAGCCAGGAATACAGAGCAGAGTAGCTTTTATGTTTGTGTGTGTTCGTTCACTTCCTTTGCCGCTTCCTTCTTCCTTTTCGCTTTTCAGTTGAGTTCAGTTTTTCGGTTTTTCGGTTTTTCGGTTTTCAGAGAGCTTAAGCGCCGCCGTCGTCACCATCGCTGCACCAATACCAAGCCAATATCCTTGGCGGGCGCCCGTGTGTGTGTATGTGTGCGTGTGCATGTGTATATCCCTGGATTCCTATGTGTGCTCTTCTTGCTTTTTTGGCAACGCCAGCAGCGATGCCAACGCCAACGCCAGCGCCAGCCGCAAGATGTGGCCAAACGAGAGAGACAGAGTGAGAGATAGAGAAAGGGAGATGGGGGAGGGGGAGTGTGATAGAGAGACAGAGAAGGGGAGAGAGGCGCAGCAGTCCTGTGCATCGTCCATCTCGTTCCCACGCACTCTACACGCGCGCGTCTTTTCTGCGCCGCTTTTTGAGTGCAATTTTGGAGTGGAGACTGGAACAACTGGTCAACACAGTCCCACTTCCATAACTCGAACTTTGAGTGTAAACTCGACGATGTGATAAGAGCCTAATGATAGTTTTATTTTTAGATTGTTAATAGCATTTATAGGTTTTAATTCAACAAATCAAAATTGAGCCGGAATCTTTAGTTTTTGGTTTACAGATTCTTCAATAGTAAAGAATGGAGAAGAGGCCTAGCAGATATCTATACCTCCATAATTATCCTTTGTTTTTTACTCTAAATTTAATATATTTAAGAGAAATTCCTTGAGATTTTACATTTAAAACTATGCTGATGTTAGACTTTCCTATGGTTTCTTAAAGGAGAGATTTGCTAATTTTAAATTAGTTTTTAATGATAATGTTCTTATTCTGGTAGCCAGTATCAGTTTATAAATTACAAATACATATTTTAATACTTATGCAGTAAAATAAATTTAGAAAGCCCCTACTTTGTAAGTTTAAACTTTTTAAAATTTATTTAAATCCAAATAAGTCTGAATATTAGCAACAAGACCCATTTCTAGGTACAATTTTATATGTTTTGCAATTCTCAATTTTATTATAGTTTATTTTAAGTGATCAAAATTTTAATATTTAACATATAACATGTTTTTAAATATGTAGTTTTGCTTTATATTTTCTTAAAAAAATAAAATGTATACATGTATGTATAAAAAATCTGCTTAATCTAGGCCTCCATTTTTTCTAGATTTCATCTGAGTCTCATTGTTTTAATTGCCGCTTTTATCAATTTCCGCGCCACTCAACGAAAGCGCAAAAAAAAAAGAGTGAAAAAGCGTCGGAAACCGAAAGCCACTCGACCCACTCGCACTCGGTGGCAGGCAATCCCACTCAAAAGGCGGATTCACTCACCGAAAATTTTTCGGCAATCCGCAGATAAGCACACATACCAGTGCACGGGCTTTCTTGGTTTGGTTTTTGCCTTGTGATTCTCCTTTTTCGCCTTCTCCAAGCGAGCGAACCGTGTGAGGTGGCCTGAGTGTGTGTGTGCACGCGCGTCTGTGTATGTGTGTGTTGTGTTTCTACGCGCATTGGAATTTCGGCAATTTTGGAGTGGAACTGCGGCGTCGCAGTCGCTGCCGCAATCGCCGCCGCTGCCGGTGCTGCTGCTCTGCCTGCCGCCGCCGCTCGCTCGGTCGGCAGTTCAGTGTCTGAAAACGCTCCTAACTGTAAGCAACGTAGCAGCCTCACCGCGAGTCGCGACCGCCGCTGCCCCAAATAAAAGAAATTATACAAATCCCAACACACAAAAAAGAAATACCAAAAAACCAAAAACAGCAAGCGAAAAACACACACGAGAAATAGCCAAACGCAAAACATCCGAAAAAACACAAGACGACAAAGGAGAAGAAGCAGCAGCAACGCAGCCTTGAATCAATTTTTTTGTTTTGTGTTACACTTTTCCGTTTTTTTTTTTTTTTTTTTTTTTCGTCGTTTGTTGGTTTCGTTTTTTCGCGCCACGGATACAACACGGATAAAGCAGATTACGGATACGTTAGCGGACCACAAATACGGATAACGGATCCACCGTACAACTATCATCCGAGTGAGCGCGCGCGAGAAAGATAGATAGCGTGAGGAGGGAGAGGGAAGTTGCGTGGGGGTTTTTGTTGCTGCTTCTACTTTTTTCGTGGCATATTTGTATTTTTTTCTTCCCACTTTCGTTTAATTCGTTGGCCTTTCTTTTCATGTTCTTTCCTTGCCTCTGGCTCTGTTTGTGTGCGTGCGTGAATGTGTGTGTTTGTGCAACAAAAACAACTCGGCTTCACTTTTTTTTTCAAGTTTTTTTGTCTTTCCAAAAAAAAAAAACACAAGCGTTGCCAAAAAAATAAAACAAATGTAAAGTTTAAAACACGCGCTTAAACCCAAAAAGGAAAGAATAACACGAAAACTCACATATAAATATATGTTGTTTTTATTTTTTTTATTTGGTTTTTCGAAAAGGCAACTCTGACATCATCTGCAAAGCTCCAACACTCCACTGCAAGAAAAAGCGGGCAACTCTTTGGCGCACACAATAAGCAAATCGACAAACAAACACAAGACACCAAAATAAAAACAACAACAGATAATAACAACAACACGACGAACAAGCATTAGAAAAGTAAGCCAAAAGACAACAAAAAACGAATGAGAGGCCGAAAAATTTCCCCAATTTTGGGCCATATGCGAAATTCGTTTTTTTTTTATTATTTCGTCTACTTATTCACCACAAAAAAATAAACCAGAAAAGAAAACAACAAAAGCAACACAACAATAAAAAAATGCCACCAACAAAAACGCACGCACACTCACACATATGCCAAGATCAAAGTCAACTCAAATGAGGCTCTCTCTCTCGCCTCCTCTCACGCATCTAATGTCGCCGCCACCCGCTCTCACGCGTCGGCGCCGGCGTCGCTGCTCCACCGCTCTCCCACACTGTCCCACTCTCGCTCGCTCACTCACTCACTCTCTCAGTTAGTCGCGCGCTCAGCCGAAAAAGAAAGCCGGCCGGCCGGTGCGGCGTGTCGATCGCAGCTGCAACAGCTGTTAATGTTAACCCTTGCATGGGTGGGCCCCCCTCCCGTCGATTGCACTCTCCTCCGATAAATTGCAAAATCCAAGCCACAAAACTAATTGCTCTTTTTTCCACCTTGTCTTTCACAGATAACTCTTTTTTTTGGCCCAATTGACACCAAAAATAAACAAACAAAAAACCACTAAAGTAACAACAAGGACAACAAAAAAACAACCCATCCGATTAAAAGTTTCGAAATTAAAGCTCTTAACTTAAGACAACAGGGAAAAAGTTTTTTTTTCGAGAACGTAAATTAAAAAAAAAAAAAAAAAAGAAATGCTAACGCGACACCAATAAAAATTCAACAACCATCGCTCGCTAAACGTTTTTTTTGCCCCGGGTCAACAGCAGCAGCAGACTTAAGCCAAAAGTTTCGATCCAGCAAAAATTCTGGCTAAAACAAAGAAAATTAAAAAATAATTATAAAATATAATTAAAAAAGAAACGAAATCAAATACCAACGTGAAATCCATCAAGGACATGAGGTAATCAAGTAATTGAGCGCGCAAAATTCAAAAAGTCATCATTCCACACGTAACACGTAACCAGCACAAAAAAGAAAACCAAACAAAACAAAAAGTAAAAGCAACAAAAATATTAAAAAAAAAAAAGAGTTAAAGCAGGAGTTAAACGAAGACGAGCTACAAAAACATCAAAACATAAAACAACATAAGCAAAAAAGGGATATATAAACCACCGATTTCCGATTTCTTTTTCGGATTCGCGTTTCCAAATCGCCAATTTGAAATTCTAAAGTGTTCTTTCTGCAACAGTTTTCGGTTTCTGCTCCCCGTATTTCGTTATATTTAGGCGTATATATATATATAATATATATAACCGACTCGCGTAACATAACACAGCACATAATATATATATATCAAATATATAATATATATACGTACGAAAGAGCCCCCCTACATCATCCAAAAACCGAGTACAATGGCATCCGAACTGGACCAATTCGCCGACCTGGAACTATCGAAGGAGGATCGCGAACAGATCTTCGATCCACCTTTGGATCGACAGCAGTTGGAAGGTGCTGGCACCTCAAGGTACGTACATTATATCCTCTATATACAATATATACTATAAAATCCTGCGAAAAATCGATCGAACCAGGCCTTTTCTCTATCCAAAATAAAAAGAAATTCCATCCACAAACACTCCTCCATCTTTCATTGATCTTGATGTAATCCGTAGCTTTTGTAGTTTGTTGTGTGATGCTTTGTAGCTTCTTAGTGCGGGTTTCCAGCTAGCCACACACCCACCACCCACCATATAATATATATCCACCCATATTATCTTGTCCACTTGGAAATGAGATACTCTCAATGCCTGAAGCTCGATGCTTGTTGAGCGATGAGCGATAAGCGATGCTCTCACCCCGCAGATACTCCTCAGATGCCAGGCGAAAATGGCGCCAAAAAGGTTGGCGATTTGATGCGCCCCTCTAGGGTTCTCGACAAAAAAAAAAAATAAGTAGAGGCAAAAAAAAAAATCCAAAATAAGGGGAAAGAAGTTAAGGCTCTCATAAGTAATGGGAAACCTGGAGGAACCCTGTGCGAAACCAGAGACGTTCTGCTTGCTCCTCCTCTCTGCCCAATCCACAATTGCACAAATTATCACGCCAAATAACATGAAGTTCGCCCCTCACACGGTGCCACCCAACACCCAGCACCCAACCAACACCCAACACCCTAACGCCCCTGACACCCTGACACCCCCTTTGGACATACAACGCTGCTAAATAGCAGCTAATTTCCTGTGATAAATTGGGCATATCACCGGGAGACAGCCACAGGCTCAGGCATTGGGCAAAGTAAAGTAGGAAAAAAAAGGGCTCTCAGGGCGGAGAGGATCCGATCCGATCCTATCCCCGACCCTCGTCAAGGTTCCCCCCTCGAGCCAAGCTCAAGTGGTGTAAGTAAACACTGAGCGGCCTAGAACAAGCTTGGGTAGGCGAAACCATCATCATTGTCACATAAAAAGCCTAAAAAAAAAGAAATAAGGAAGCCAGGGAACCAGGAGGCAGCCACTACCTGTCTTGCCCCTAAGGCCTCCGCTCTTCCGATCCTCCCCATCTTTGCGATCCTTACGATCCTGATTTCTGGGACGAAGGATCGCCCGGCCAACCCCCGATCTGACAAAATTGATATACTTGCCGCACGCTGCCGAGGAGAAACTCACTTAGCATCCTCGTCCGTCGTCCTCAAGGCTCGTATGCAGATCAATGATGGATAGATCGAAGCTAGACCCAACTCAGAGTGCCAAAGATAATGTTTGTGTTGCACCTAAACAGATTAGAGTCTTTTATTTCTCTCTGTTCGATAAAAGCGGCCAGTAGCTATGTTGCTACCAGACCTAAACGGATTAAATGTTATTTGAAAGGGATATATAAAAGATATCAAAAGATGAGATCTCTGGGTAAGTCCAAGAATAAACTAAACTCAAATGGTATCCTGTGGTATTTTGAATTTTCAAGGATATCATTAAATGTTTGCTACTATAAAAAGAACTTGTATTAGATGCAAATAAGATAAAGCTCTTGAAAATATATTCCAAGACTGACTTCTCCATTGGAATGCAACTTTAAATGGTTTGCAAGAAGGTCCAAGAACTAACGAAACTAAAACGATATCCTTTGGTATTCCTTGTTGTCCTTGCAAGGCGGCACTCGAAATCGGATTCTCGCCCACAACCTTGTCGTCGTAGTCGTCGCATCCTGGCATTTGAAATCCTTCGTGCCACTCGGCAATTCACACTCTTCTGCACTCCCCGCTGCGGCACAGCTTGTTGCGTGTTAAGCCGCTTGTTGCAACAACGGCTAAGCCGGTAGGCAAACGAAGGCAGAAAGCCGGGAGCATTCGCAGGAATCCCAACTAATTTCCTGCCAGAATGCAAAGTAAACAAAGCGGCGGCAAAAATGCAAAAATAATAACAAAAAGCAGCAAAAAAAGAAATATATGTACATACATATATATAAAGAAGGAAAAAAGCCTGGCATAGAGGCCAAAAAGTATCTCACAGCCGAAAAGAAAGAAGAAAACGAAACGAAATCTTTTTCTGTAGCATTTGGTTTAATCCTCCAAAGGAAACATGCCGCTGCCACAGGAGGCATCGGTTTGCCTTTGCTCTTCGCATGAATTTGAATTTGAATCTCAACGAGGACTCGGCTCGGACTTGGTCTTGGTCTTGGTCTTGGTTTTGCCTTTGCTTTTTGGGATTTTTGCTTAGAAAAAGAAGGGTTGAGAGCTTGACCCAGAACGCCATCGAGATGAGATCGCATCTCTGTGGAATCTCTGTTCTCGAGCGTGTGTGTGTGCGTGTGTTGTGTGTATGTCTTGGTGATCTCATGATCAGGTTTCTCAGGAGAGTTGGCGGTTGGAAATATGATTTTGGCAGAGTTTAGGGGCTTTCCTGCCAGCTTCTTTGTTTTTTTGTGTGTTTTTTTTTTTTTTTGTGCTTGTGTTTTTTTTTTTTTGTTTGTTTTGTGTGTTCGAACAAATTTTTTTTTTCGTCCATTCTGTTTGTTCATTTTCTAGTCGCAAAACACGTTTCTCATATTTCCAAAAACTCCTCGCTCTCTTTACTGCGAGTGCGCTCAAACAATTTTTAATTATACGACGAGGCAGGCGGCGGCTTCCTTGCTTCTAATGTCGGTTCACTTGCAGACGGCGGATGGGGAGGTTCCTGCTGGCCAGCAATTTGTCCTTTGCCGCTTTGCTGCCTCTTCTAATCGCAACCCTTTTTCGGTTGCAAGAGATCCGTGTATCTTTTGTGCCACTGCTTGCCACTTAGCCGGTTAGCTGGTTGGTAGCTTCATCCTTCATCCTCTGGAAGCCAGCAGCAAATTTGATTCCCATCGATTATCAACTCCAAGGGAGGCTGCTACTGCTACTGCTGCTGCTGCTGCTACTTCTATACGCCTGCTACTGCTTCTGCTTGTGCTTTGCTCGCCTTTTTGATTGACAGTCAAATTAGTAGGGCAGAGAGTGCCCTTTTTTTGGGGGTAGCTTAGATGCGATCTAGACAGAAGCCGCCAGCAGCAGCTGCTACTTCTTTGCGGATCTCGGGGCCTCCTGACCTTGGTTTATCGCTCCATTCATTCCATACCATACTATACCGATCCTATCCAATCGCCCCCGCCTTTGTCTGCTCGTCACAATGCCAGAACTCGTTCCCCGAGATGGAGATGGCGGGGATTGTGCACTCAAAACAAAAGCAGCAAAGAATTAGCCAATTTTCTAAATAGAAGATACAAAAAATAATAATAAATATTAATATAAAATAAATATCGAGGAAGCTCCTTTTAATCAAAATATTTCCTGCTTCAAGAGTATCTTTCTAAAAGATATGGAAATCTTGGCTATAAAATAAGTCCAAAAAAATAATCACTATAACATTTTTATACCCTTGCAGGGTATTATAATTTCAGTCAGAAGTTTGCAACGCAGTGAAGGAGACCTTTCCGACCCTATAAAGTATATATATTCTTGATCAGCATCAACAGCCGAGTCGATCTAGCCATGTCCGTCTGTCCGTCTGTCCGTCTGTCCGTCTGTCCGTCTGTCCGTCTGTCCACCTGTCCGTTTCTACGCAAACTAGTCCCTCAGTTTTAAAGCTATCTAAATGAAACTTTGCATATAGTCTTCTATATACTCTCACTGCTATATATGTCGGAACGGGCCGGATCGGACGACTATATCATATAGCTGCCATACAAATGTTCGATAAATTTTTAGAAAAAAAATTATAACTTGGCTGTTTTTCAATATTTTTGCACAATTTTTTAGATATGGCCATTATATATTATTTCAGAATTTCGATAAAAATTTCATGAAAATCGGACGACTATATCTTATAGCTGTCATAGGAACGATCGGGAAATTAATAGGAAAAAAACTATAACTTCATTGTTTTTCAACGTTTTTTCATCTACTCCGGGATATAAGCTTATTTTATTATTCTAGAATTTTGGCACAAATTTCATAAAAATCGGACAACTATATCATATAGCGGCCATAGGAGCGATCGGTAGATGTAGAGAAAATGTAAAGCTGGGAATGCAAAACTGTAACTGTCAAACTGTAAACATAATAATATAGGTAAAATGTAATGAAATAATATCTGCAAGGGTATACAAACTTCGGTGTGCCGAAGTTAGCTTCCTTTCTTGTTTAAATTTATTTTCTCTTAAGTACTTGACTTTTTTCGCGGTGTATCTATAGAATCAAACGTTGAATGAAATCAAGTACTAGGGGAATGGCGGGGGCGGCAGGGTCTCGAGACACTTTCTTTACCTACATTTGTCCAAAAACAAAATACGCTCTGGCCCATATTGAGATAGAGGTGAGAGGCGTGGCCCGCCAAAATTCCCGCTGCTGGAAAAATTCGATTGCTGGAAGTGAAGTTGAAGTTGAAGCTTGTTGCACAGCGGAAGAGCAGAAGGACACCGACTCTGTCCGGCAAACAGGATGCAAATTTTTTCGTATTTCTTTTTTTTTTGCGAGTACAAAACTCTTCTCAGGTAGACATGTATCCTCGGTGTCTGTGTGTTTGTGTAGGAGTTTTGTGCTACGTAGGTTGTCAGGTAAAAAAGAAAAAGAGCCAGTCCTGGCCTGCCCTAATTTTAAGAAGATGCTTTAACCAACCAAGTTATAAGTTTGTACCACTTTCTGACAGGCGTCTGATAGTCCTTAACTCTTCATGATAACTGTTCTTAAGGCAGCTTTATACCATATAAAGTATGTATATTATTGATCAGCATAAATAACCGAGTCGATATAGACATGTTGGCAGAAAAGACATTTATTTTGTAATTTTATAATTTTAAAAATTTAAACTATGTTTAACCCCTGTCATTGACTATTTATTGGTATAAATGAAAATTTTTTTCCCAATTCCGATAGACTGCAGAAATGTCGATTATTCATCAGCTTCTAATGGCCACACGTTTCTTTAGTCTTGCTCTCTCGTCGCCATCCCGTTCTTAAACTCTCTTGTAGCGCATTCTTGCCGATTTGAATTGTTTTTGTTGTCGTTTTTTATCTGT